GGCTATATGTGGCTATACCCATAGGCCCCTAGGTAGTTCCTATTTTTGGGATTACCTTATAGGATTTTAAGTATAAGCCATAAAATGGAACTACTTAGGGGCCTATGGGTAGCCTTCAAAGAGTGGGCTCTGCAGGGTCTAGGGTTTTAGAGGCTTGCTAGGTTTGAGTTTCCAGGTCTGGAGTCTCTGGTACCTAGGATTCCTTGTTATGGTGTCGGTTCTTTTCTAGTCTTGCAGGTATGCCAAGCACAGCTGGACCGTCACAGATACCCATGCAACCGTCCTGACTCAAGTCTCCAAGCTGACATTTTGAAGCACCGGCCGCACCTGATGGTCACGGCCGGTGCATTACTGCAGCTTCTCATGAATGCACGGCTCGTTCTATTATCTACGTGCCTAAATTTGAGGCCAGAATCTTCGGATAAGCCGGACAAAATTAAGAGTGCAATGTGCGTAACCCTAAACCCTAAACGGCCGTGTTTCGACCTGGGGTTTAGGGCTTCGAGCTTCGAGTTCAGGGTTGAGGGTTCGAGTAAAGGGGCCCAGCCTCCTTTGTACAGAACCTGGACGTGGAGCCCCCCAACGCTGTCCTTGTGAGAGACAACGGTGCATTCAGCTTTCCAGCTGTATTACGAGAAGCTTCCACGCATGCCGCATCGTCCAGTTTTCGACATGTTGGTTCATTCATAGCCCGGTAGACTTTAAACCCAGAGCCGTAAGTAAACCCGCAGCCCCTAAACCCCCCACGCACGCTTGAAGCCTAATCTCTAGCTAAATCTAAGGCTTGCAAGCGTGCAGCTTGATCGCATGGGAGGGCTTGGCCCACATGCGAGAACCGGCAGAGGAGGTCTGTCGCCACTCGGTGCGCTTAGGCCACTCCACACTCATGTGGCAAACGTTTGCAACTTCAAGATTCGGGATTTTGGCGGCTTCCCCTCGCCGAAACGCATTGGGGAGTTGAAGCTGAGGGGCCTACCCTAAACCCTAAACCCTAATTACTGTAGTGTAGTGTCAGGATGCTGGTGTCGTAGTCTTCGGCAGCAGGGCATGTGTCGTTGTTCTGAGTTCTGTCATCCTCCCTCAGCGCACCCCTACAGTTGGGCCTTTTCCGTTGTATGCAAGTACAGCCATATATAAAAGGTTTGTATTCATTCATTCACGCAAACGTGCATGTGTGCAGGTGTTCATATTATACAGTTGTCGTCACTGAAGTGGGGGCGTGTAAGCCAGCGTTTGCTCTTTGAGCCTATCTTCGAGGGTCGTGTTCTTCAAGCCTTTCCCCTAAAGCCCAAACCCCTAAGCCCAGAGCTTAGTGAATGGGTTTGCCCAGGCACGTCTTGCTCTGGCTGGGCAGGCATGGTGAGGGCGGCTCTGATACTGTTGGGGTTTAGGGCTCAGGGTTCAGGGTTTAGGGATGAGCAGCGACTGAGGGCGTCTTCATGCATCTTCTACGAAGAATGAGCGGCTGGGTTGTTGTTCTCCCCGACAGACACATGCTTTTACACCTTTTTCTCGTTGGTCCCACTAGGCTACCTCCGTATCAAGGCTTCTCCCCAGCATGACAACTCCCAAAGGCTTCGCTAAAAGTGCTCGCTTGCTTGGCACCCTCCACTTCCTCATGCCTTCCGGCCTGTTCCCCCTTGTAAGGTCAAAGAATCGGTAGACTAAAGTGGCATGGATTTCCAGGAATGGTGTTCCTTCCAGAGTCTGCTTTCTGATGGGAGCTTCTGCATGGCCTTGCCAGTCTCGATCCTCATAGATCGCACACGTTTGCTAAGATGACCCGTAAACCGTAATTATTGAAATGTGATGGTTTCAGAAATTAACCCAGGAATCTAGGTTTCCAAAGATGCACCCTTCCGAGCAAGTTCTATCTACACGAGGAGAGCAACATTGCTGGGAATGTTGTTGCAGCTGCGTCTGTTGTGGGTGTCACGAAACTGCCATGATGTCGGAGGCAAGCATGTGGAACTCAGCGGAGTGCCCCGAGAGCTGTGGCACTGTCCCCCTGCATCAGAACAGCAGGCCATGTGGGGTTTCTCTGGCATTAGAGTTAAGTTGTGGTTATAGCTCTCTGCGCTTTGCTCCCTGATCTGAGTCTTTTGTCGGTTATCGTAGCTTACATGTGCTGATGGCCATTCAGGGCCGCCTAAGATTTATCAGTCGCGAAACATGCAGAAATTGTGAGGGGGAGCTGTTTCGATTGACGTTGTGCTAGTAACTACTTCCGAAAAAGCTGACATTGAAATCTGCTTGCTAACCTAATTAGGCCTAGTATTCCGAGTCGTGCCTCTTCCCGGACCTGGCCCGAGTCTTATGTAGAGCAGAGGCCTTAATGATAGAATACGGTTTGGGGGCATATCATACTACCTAAACCCTAAACCCTAAACTATAGCTATGACAGGGGCTCCCCCGAGGAGCGCAGCACGGTGAAGCCAGATCTTGTCCAGGCGGAAATCCTGGAGCCTGAGGCCTCTCAACCCGAACGCCCTACACCCTACGAACACTAATTAAACCCTAATTCAACCCTAGTTAAACCCTAGTTGAACCCTAGCTAGACCCTAATTAAACCCTAAAGCCCTCAGCCCCTGGACCTGAGCCTGTGTTCTGAATATTTTAACATTTATCTTAATTCATTGTAGAATATGTCCCCTCCCAATCCCTATTCTTATTAAGAATATATTAAGACCCCTCTCTCTCTCTCTCTCTC